CCCCCCCCCCACCGTTAGAAGCACAACCGTGAGGGGATTTTATTCACAGTGGGTGCCGACAAACGCCCCATCGTTATTGTCGGACCACAGAGGAAGGGTGGAACCAAGATGCTGAATGATTTGGGTGCTTTGACATCCCCAGAACTAAGACACTGAAAAACTTATTCACTGGATGGTAAACAGAGCCTTTTGACACAGAAGCATAGTATAAGAGTATGTTCAGGTTCGTCTCTGAGAATTTACAGTTTCACCGGATATCGACCATCCACCATGAAATGACACTAGTGCATCAGCTCAATTGCCGGCCAGATACTTTGCAACCCACCAAAGGTAAACCAAATTTATTTAGAGCCAAAGCAAGTCCAGAGCTGTCTGCAAGCTTATCATACGTAAAGCGTACGCAGCGGTAACAAGCTAGGAATTCAGAAGCCTGAAAACGTCATCCGCAACTGATGCGCAACGAACATTAAAACATCACTAGGCCTTGGATACAAACAAAAGCCGTCTTGATGCCTGACCGACTGTCAAGTCCTTTATTGGATCTATTACGGGCTAGTTAAGTTTGCTGGCTGTAGCAGCACCCAACTGTGTGCGGTAAGACAGTTTGGGTGTAGAATTCCACCTGACGACCTCCTGAAATTCACTGACGCAGATCCGAAGTCAGGCTTTGGCTGTGATAGTTTGCCTGTCAAGGGTAGAGTATACACAGTGCTATCCATACTGCCATATACATTGGAAAAATAGTCCCCAAGGCACCGGTGATGTCCGAAAACCTCCGTTTTTTAGACGTTGACCGGATTCAGTGGGAACAACGGATTGGCAAAGCTGAATTAAGCTATATGGCCTTAGAAAGAAAGCAATCTCCTGGGATGGACGAGCTAGATTAGGACATGCACTTCGCAAATCCTGTCGTATTCCTGTATAGGGGCCCAGGACACGAATCACTAATGACGCTGAAAGATATGACCCAATCGTACAGGTAGTGAGAATGCCGTGCCAGAGCATTCGTCTCAAATGCGTGGAGGCTCATTTGTCGCTCCAACAGACAGCTAGAATCAAGCAACCTCAACTAAGTGGATACATCATCGCCTCTCATTATTGCCTATGTCTCTCCAGGCTTACCTCTTCTAGTGACCAAAAATGTAGCAGCTGCAACCAACGCACTCTCGGTCTATAGCTGATAAACTGAATTGGATGGCTACTTGCTATATGATAACTATAAAATATTCACCTAGAATCTAACTCAACAAATCGAAGTTATCATGCTGAAGATCAACCCGACAAGCAGTTACGGAAAGTTGTAATCCAACGGGCTCATCATATCAACTCTAAACACAATCCTCGCATGACTGTTAGCTAGCCAATGAAGGCGCGTCAATAGTAGTGCCAATTACCCAAAGAATCGAGTTCCTACACTATACGAGATAATCCAGTTGTTTAGCTTAAAGTCAGGATAAACACCGTCAACTCAACGTAATGCGAGCAAGTTGTGGTGGGCTTGCTCTGCCTCCGACTGAACCTTCTCCCGGGATTTTTCGGAAAGGTCCAATTGACTGCGTATACAGCCCTACTGCAACTGACCGAAGGCAGGTGACTGAGCATGGCACGAATGCAAGATAACGTGATGTAGCGACCAGGAGGGGACTCGCTTGCTAGGATAAAGGCGGCATCGAACAAGCAACAGGTTTAAAACAGGTGAACAGGTGACACATCGTCCAATGCGTCAAAGTTGAGAGCGCAACTCCCCGTACCCATAAGGTACCAAAGAGAAGTCCATACAGATACGCTACATGCAAGCATGTGACTGACTAGCCCTTGTCTAATACGCAGCAACGACACGTTGATATTCAGTGGTGAAAATCTGCGTCCTGCCTGATTCTGTTGGACAGCCGGGTTCTGATATTTGTACCGGAAACAAAAAGCCGGTAGTTGAACTAAAACCCGACCATTGAGCCAAGCCTGACAATGTCGCATACGCGATAACATTGTCATCGTCTCTATTGATCAACTCGAAACAGACGTTGGAGAGCAACGTTGGTCAAAATTTAAGTCAACCAAGCACAGTCTTGTCTGAAATGCACTGCTGGTCATCGAGTTGTTTCGCGCATACGATGCATACTGTATCAACATCATTTAGTGAAAGAACAACTCCTCAGCTGAGACATTTTCAGCTCGGTCCCGCGAAAACCGGCATGAAATCGACAATTTTTGGGGGACCACTCCCGAAAATACTACCCTCAATGCCCCTGTGACGCGAAATTTCTTCCCAAAAAAGACCATATTGAGAACCTTAAGCGCTGGACTTTCAACTGAGCGTCTGACCAACGGCATTGAGACGAAAGTGCTGCCCCAAGTGGACACGGTTCTACGACATTAATTTTACCTATGTGGTATATGTCAAAATGTCTCACGACGTAGAGACCACTCGTTGTTGGTTATTTGTAGTCCTTCCTCAAGGTAACACCCTTCCCAGGAGAAACATGTATCGAGAGAGAGAGAGCACAACCACACTACACCTTGTGCTGGAGAGATCACTTGAAAGGATATGTTTGCTCTGTTTAAGAGGCAATCGCAGATTTGGTCTATCCTCAAAGAGCGCTTCAAAGGGCCGACCAAAAGTGGCTTCTTATGTGAGTTGGACTCTTGTCGGAGAAAAAGTTCAAGTGCCAAATAAAGGTTATGTATCTCGGAAGCCGGCCTTTCCAGAGTTTGGTCCCTAAACCATAGTTCCAAAATCTGTGGAATAACATAGAACCCCAGAACTAGAACATCACTTTTTATAAAAAAACTACCCGAAATGTCGCTGAAAACTTCTCAACCTTATGAGTGGTATTTCTTCAAGAAAATATACTGCGAAAATCGTACCAACCAAAATATGAGGAAGCCTTTGTTCATGGCATTCAGCTGAAGAATATCGCAAACGAGAAAAAACCGTCCAGCTGCAGCACCCTTTGGACGATACAGCTTGATTCAACTGAGTCTCGTAAACACCAAATTGGCCTGCAAATGAGTGTGTTTCGCGTAAAACACCACTCGAGGAAGCGACACACAACATTGTCATCACCTGTCAAACATCTAGTGTAAATGTGCAGGACTAACTTTAGACAGCCTCGATTCCAGGAGTGTAACTCTGTGGACCGAGTGCTATTAGGAGAGAGCAGCTCGCAGCCCTCGGTGGAGGCCAGCTATGCTTGGATTCCTGAAACTTCTTCCATCGGTTACGAAGCTGACCGAAGAGGCCAGTTTGTATCAAAGCCTTTAGGTAGTTTTGCCAGAGCGAGATAAAATAAAAAGACGTCAGTTGGCACACGACCAGTACTGTCCCGTCCAACCCCGAAGTGAAAAGTTACACCTATCCCCGAAGGAGACACTTGGTAAACACAAAATGTGGCATTTCGAACTTTATTTTCACGGATGACGATTACGGAGACACGAGTGGGCATGCAGCTCTCATGTTCTGCGGACTTATGATTAGGCATGAAACGTTATGTGAACGTACGTAACCGGACGGACGGCTTAGTGATGCTGAGTTCGAGGCCTTTTATCCTTAATAGGGGTCGTTCGGCTGTAACACCCTTTCGGTGCCTAACTGCCATGCCATCAGAAGAAAGCACGAAAGCTGGGATACTGCCATGCTACTTAGACAGAAGTCGAGAGGTAGAGGTCAGGTTCGAACCACGGACCACCTGGTCAGTGACGTCGTGCTCCAACCAATGAGCCATCACGCCCTCCTTAATAGAGGTAGATTCGAGCTGCTGACCTCCGAGTCATGCGCCCGCTAACCACCAGATGCTTTGAATAGACCAACAGATGCCTGATAAATACCATCATGCCGATGGCTCCTATTAGCCCACGCCGTATGTGTATGCAGGTGGAAGTGGCTTTACGGGAGTTTTGTGTACCATCGCCATCTGACTCAAATCTGCCTGCCAAGGTCACATGCCAGGGTGCCACAGCTGTCCATGCAAATGAATATCTGTAGAGACATGTGGACACCACAGTTTGAAAGGATATACTAACCATTTTGGGGTGATACCTATGTGACACTCCATTGATCCCAGTATATTTTCTTCCCGAATTGTGTGATTGACGGGCAGTGCCTTCTCTATGAAACGACCCTGTTGTTCGAATGCACGCGGGGTCGTACACTCTCTCCGACGGACGCACTATGTGATTGGCGACTCGAACACCTCTTCTTCACCAACATCGTAACCAAATGATTGCTGCCTTGTCCCTCCTTCTAGTGTAGACAATTCTTCGGTGAACGAACCCTATCTCTCTTCGCGTCACTGATCGCTGTTTGTTACCAGATTTTGTATGATCAGTTAGTCACACAAGCGGCATTGTGCAAAACGTGCTAACAAACTCAGCAACATTTTATAATGCTGAGTTCCCAGAAACTTACTCAGACAGTTAGGGCGTTCACAAATGTCAAGACAGACCAGCTGTCACAATTCAGGCAGTTCCATATCAAAGCTAGGTGAAAAACAAATATTCACCTCACTCCCAACTGTCATAGCTAGGATCGATGGTGATACCTTAAAGGATAGGCTGACAACATTGCTTGATAGAAATCACCATCACAGACAGTACTGTCAGTGTTAGAGCAATAGGGCTTGAGTGCTATATGAGCATACTAACTATTTGAATAAAGTCGTATAATGAGAGAAGACAATGGGCTTACTGTTGACCTACCACAGACAATAGACGAACCTAGAACTCCGAACACTCGAGAAATCTGGGTAAAATCCAGAAGTGAGAACACCACAGTCATAATATCACGTAGCTTCAGCCAGGAGAAGAGAGTTTCACATGGACCCTATTTTGAACCGCACCCAAAGTACGGAGACTCCTCGTAACCCCTTCTGTCAACTCACACTATGCCTAGTCCTTGGTAAAAATACAAAGAATAAGCGCGAAGAATTCCACAGAGAGGTGAGGACAAAGATCAAAAAACTGAATTCGGGACGCTGAGTTCCTTATTCTGTAGACGATTACAAAACAAAACAGAAAAACACTATTACACGCTAAATCGCTCGGCATCCACTTCGGTACGCAGATGCACAGATACCTTAGGACCGAAGTACTGTCAATTCGCTCAATCCTAGACGGGAATTAGGAAGAGAAAACATCTTGTCAGTGGGTCTCACTATAATCTCAGAGCTATTTCGGGTTCATCGGCAGCGAATCGAACCCACTAAACTCCCCACATCACACTTGCACCAGAGACGTATCGGAAGCTGTATGGCCCCACAGTCGAATGCACTAGAGCCTAAATGGGGAAACATCTGTCAAACCTTAAAAAGTTTCTTAATGGCTTATGGTCAGCCGTAGCTGCAATCATAAAAGAACCAAAAGCCAGCCGAACGGTAAGCCCACACTGGTACAAAACGGCCTACCTTGAAACGGCAATTTCGAACACATGACCCGTGAGTTCGTCCCGTCGTACGGTTGCTGGTCGCACAAAGAAATAGGATGGTTGTGTTGTAACTGCGGGGAAATGCGAAAATCGGGACCGGAAGAGGGGCGAACATTCAAATGCGTGGAAACAGGAACGTTTTCGCTCGCAACAACCTTGGCAAAAGTTTGATAGCCCACGCAGGTGGACGGAACGTTTTGTTGGGTAACGTTCATGGGAAGGTTGAGAAACGTTGTAGAGGATGACGTTTCTACCGTACGGTTGGAGGACGATGCGATACCCGTTCTCATGTGAACACTTGCGTTCCCGTTGTTCCCATCATTCAATGACATCGGAATTGAGTTCATGTCACTACTGAGAGGCATTGGAGAGTTTCTCTTTGGTAAGTTAACGGCATTGTGCAAATTAAAGGGAAAGACTTGAGGATCGTTGGACAAGGAGAGAAAATCACCGAGGCGTTTCTTGTCTGCCGTGTAAGAAGGTATGTCTTGATTCGAAAGAGTACGTCGTCCAGCTTGCAATGTCATGTTGGTGGAAAGGTTCAGCTCTTGTGTTTGTATATCACTCTGTGTCGCCGATAACGGCGGACTATTGTTCCAGTTGGAAATGGAAAGAAATTTAGGGTCTAGTTGTTGAGAATAGAGGAACTGTGGTAGATGCTGTTGTTGCATAAGCTGACCTTTACCAATCACGGCATTCGAGTGAAGATCTGTTTTGGAAAACGACGCGTTATTCGCAAAGACGTCAAAATTCAAACTGCTATCACTTCCGGCCAACGGAAATTTCCTGTCCAACTTGTTCCTGGTCTCGGTGGTTGCTGGACCCGAGCGTAGGAGAGGAGAACCACGTTCACTTGTGTATCGTGAAGCCGGTTCGGAATAGGATCCTGGACTGTGCTTTTCTGGCCGCATTACCAACAACGTGTCGGATCGTGAATCATTGACTGAGGGTGGCGGTTGTAGGTACACTTTTTTATCGCACATTTCATCATTACTAAATTGTATTGTTGGCAAAGCGGAATGGTTCCCATCGGTCAGGAAATCGTTGGCACTGTCTAGCAGATTACCGCTTGATCTATTGTCGCATGGTAAAAGAAAGTTGGAGGGGTTCGAAGCTACGGAGAAGTCCGACAGTCGAGCTGCCTGCTGCGGTACAGGTCCGGTTTCGTTTCCGTTTGTCCGATTATTCTTTTCACTAGTGAAGGTCCGATTCCCCTCACCGGGAAGCAGCGCAGTCTGATGAAAATGCTGGGGACCATTATCACACATCATACTAAGATCCGGGGAACAATAGGCCATGGATCGGCTACCAGGAGAGTCACCAGAAAGATTTGCCGTCCGGCACCTTAGCTCATTGCCTTGAGTTGCTGTCACGTTTGATGGTGAGGCAGTGGATGATGGTATCATGTTGAGGTGCTTTGGCGTCAGGAAAAGAGAGGGTGAGTGGCGGTCTAACGTACTCAGAGGGGACGCATCACTGGAGTTGCGATCCGGACCATGTAGTTTGAGTTCTTTGAATTGATCATGCCCACAGCGACTGATCACAGGATTGGACGAGGTGCACTGTAGCCGGTTGGGTTAAAAGAAAAAACGCGTCAAATACGCGCATACACATGTGGGAAACGTTGAATTTAGGAATGCTATTTAGAGAAAAGTGAACTTCAGAGGTGAAGCCGGACAAGAAGTGAGACCTGAAGAGTCAATAAAACAATAACCTTATGTAAGGAAAATGGTACGAAGTTCACGTCAACATCAAACCTATGGACCCTGATTAGGCCACACCGATAAGTCAATACTTTGGAAGAATAGCCGATAGGCCATACGCGATGAGGCACACACACACCAGTTTGAGAACCGAAGGCCATCGGCACCAAGTCCAACAACCATGTGAGTGTAGTACGATTTCAGCGCAAACGCATTCTGAGTAACCATTTCTCAATTTCGGAAATGAATGACAATCGCCAGCGCGCAGTGCAGCGCTGAGTGGGTGCCCATAGTCTGTGATACTTGGCAGGCGGCTCTTGGTGTTTTTCAGATTCTCAGTTATATTGCAATCAGTACACTTGTGAGTAACTTGTCTGAGCATCCACACACACACACACACACACACACACAGAGTCGAACGATCTAACCTTAAGGGGCAGGTCCAGTTTTATATTGCGGGGTGAAGCGATTAACGTTATGGGAAGAACCAACTGGCCTAACACTGCTTTGAGCCCTCAAGTCAATGATCGACAGTGATCTCCGAACCCAAGGATAAAACAGGGCATCCTGAGTCTGCAATTTTGAGAACAAGTCTTCCTCGGAAACAGAAACCGGGAAGTGACGAATTCACTCATTACCTGATAAGCAATGACGAAGTATCTCAGTTGACCAAACCTGAGCACACAGCAATGTAGGCGAAGGTATTAGCTGCAAAGAATGATGAGCCTGTCGAGATGAAATCGATGGGACGCGATTATGCGCAGCACGTAGCTGATCGATGAACATTGCTCAATTGTAACACGAGATTCCTGGGAATTGTCCAAATATGCTTATCGCATTTAGCCAGGGTGTGGTCAGATGAACCAGTGGATGAGGAAGGTCGGAGGTAAAACTGGTAGAAATGTCAACCAAGTAAACTCGGTCAGGTGTGTTGCGCACTCTTCACAATAACGGCTTGTAAATTGTTGAGAGGAATAGTGCTTAACGTGGCAATAAGCGTATCCAATTCGCTGATGTGCTGCTGACACCCCGACATGAATAGGGGGGGGGGGAGAATAAACACCAATCTGGATGACAGCCGCCCACATGAACAACTGACGGAACTTGACACAACCGTAAAAACCAAAGAGCCGGAAAGCGAATAGTGCAACCAGTTACGCAACTGGTGCAGGCCGGTCGACAAGCGCAGCTGGTGTACACGCGAGTGTTTTTTTTTCAAAAAAAAAGGAGGAAATACGCTTCGCCACCCACTATATCTCCAACAGTTCAAATGTGAAACGTGCATCTGCTTAGAAGCAACCATTGGCTAACACCTGAGTTTGAAGGTATTTGTCAGCTACAAAGATAAAAAACAACAAGTGTTTAAATAGCGTGTCTTGATGTTCCCTCCATCCACAGGCCGCCTAACCTCACTATGTGGATGTGTATACGAACATGCAACTATTCAGTATCACTACAACGAATATTGTGGCAGATGAAAACAGTTGGTATTGTGGCGGTACTATCGCAAGAATAAACCTCAGAAGGCCACTGGTTGCCAGACAACTGCCTCAAAGTTTACGACAAGCAGTTCAAGGGCACCAGTTGCTCAAGACGCAAAAGGAAAACTATCTCCGACACACAGGAAAATAGCACAAGACCGAGCAGTTCAGTCACCTAAGGATAAGTGGGTGGAGCAAAACGTTTTCGATTAACATAAGAAGGGCTGGTCTTCAAAAGTTGGGTTTACACGGGAAAACATCCGCACATCTTCTCAGCTCAGGACATTGATCAATACAGGCGTAACGGTAGATACTACTGATAAGGCATGCAAGCAGTGTTTTCTCGTAAATTCACTTCGCGTCTCCTGAAAAGTGGGATCTTTTACGGAATTTTTGGAGTCGCTTTGTAGCATTTGCTTGCATGTGAGTAACAGTCAATGAATATCTAGGAAAGTTCAGAAAGATGCGTCCAAGGAGAAGATGGATATTCAGTTTTGTAAACAAGATGCATATGAGAGTTTTGCTCCCCCATCCAACACTCTGTAACTGTTCAGTTGGTGTTTCTCTAATAAACAACTCCGCAGCGAGGGCCTTCTCCCTTTCACAGGTATGTGTAGCGCACACGTGATCGTACACTGCGTCGCAGCTGCAGCTATGTCCATATGCAAAACCTAATGCATGTAAAGACGGATTCAGTGTCAGTAATTCTGTCCAAATGAATGATTTCCTGCCATATAGTGATGACGATAGCTCCAAAATACCATTGTGGAACTCAATCAAATGAAAACAACTTCATTAGACTGGAATATGATCTGAAGAGATGAGGAAACCACATAGATTGCAGTTTAATCTGATGTACTCGTAATGTGAACTCCTATTAAGCACAATCCTGTAACGATTGTTAGCTGGTCACCGTGCATTGGAAATACAGGATAGATCGAGCTCAAACATTACACGAATCGAAACCAGGTCAGGATATGTTCAAAACGGTATGCGGACTAACCGGAAGTTCTAGGTCAACTCCGTGAAAATCGGTGCTGTTACATTGCAGCAGCGGTTGACTCCTTGTATCGTTCAACACAGACGTTGCCAAGCCGGATAGCTGATCCACTGCACACGGGAACATTCGATCGCTGCTATCGCTGGTGGCACCCGCATCCGACAGGGAAGAAAGTTTGTTCTCTTTACGGTTCAGTAACTGCGGAGAGGAGACACACAAGGGAAGAGGAGGGTGAAGAGGAATGATCAATAATAATTTCTAATAACATCCTAGCCACAGCCGTTCTCCCAAGAGAAGCCGCTCCAAAAAAAAACAGCCATGCAGTGAAAAAGAGACCAAATATTCTGTTCACCGATGGAATGGACTTACACCACAAAAATTCAGCGAGCTAGATAAGTTACCGATGAGAGAAAAAAATCAAAGGTCAGGACGAGCAGTAAGCCTCTTAAACTAAGCTAAGGATAAATTTTAAAAAATGCAGTGAGCGAGGAAGCTATGAGACAACTACTAGTTCTCCCTACAGAAGAAAGAAAACCATAAAACAGCGGTTTTGTCTTCTCTCTGTGTAACGGGGTTGCTGAAAAAGCGTGTCTGTCGAAAAACCAGCGCCCGCCTAACAGTGATCAAAATAAGAAACGCCCATAATAAGATTGGAAAAAGTCGTTCAGCTGTAACACCCGGTGCCTATCTACCATGCCACCCGAAGGTAGCACGAGGGATGGGATATTGCCGGGTTGCCCTACCCTAGACAGGGAAAGTCGAGAGGCAGAGGTCGGGTTCGAACCACCCATAATAAGATAGTTCACGCCTTTTCCAAGCAATCAGTGAATAAAGCTTCCCCCGTAAATGCTTTTTCGACTGGACTGCAATGGTCTTGACTGATAATTTAGCGTTGCATATTCAGTGGACAATCCATTGGAAAACAGTACAGCCACAGTACGAATCTAAAGTACGGAAACTGGGATATGGGGTGATGCGACGCATGAAAACTCGAAATCAATCGACTTTCCACTGATTTTGTTTTCACTGTAATGATATTCGTATATATGGGATCAGATGGAAGGCACAAGGATGATACGTTTACAACGACAAAGATGACCAAAGCTGGTGATATCTAAGCAGGTTAACCACGAACATGCAAAGTGTGGCGGCCGCTCCAAATGAACCACAGTATTCCGTCGCACAAGTAACATCTACGACCATATTTCGAGTACGTGAACGTAGAAAGCAAGCGACACGCTTGGAATTATTCGTTCCTTTTGATGAGGATACATTTCCATTGAAGGGATATGTTCATATTCCCCAAAGCTGTTTCTTCCACGGTATTTAGATAACAATTATGACTAACTTGTGTGGTAACTTTGATAGAGGATTATGCGGTGGAACACCTCTGGCCAATCAATAGCTCGGCTTGACATTCTCGGCTCATGAACATTTGGCTGACTTGTGTACGTGCATCGCATAGTCTATGATGTTAAAAGTAAAACATTTCCAAAGGACGGTCATCGTAATCAGTTCCAGTAACAGACTAGTAAGTACTGGCGTTTAATCATCAGACAACCACAATGGTAAAGAGTAGAAAGAAGAGTCTTTCTTGAGGAAGGATATCAAAAATGGTGCATAAAATGCATACAGTAATGAGATAAATACGCATGAGTATCATGTCGGATTAAGACACCGTTAGTAGGACTGAATCACCGTCCCTTATGAACCCCACTCGACATAAAGAACAGTGCAAAACAGAAAAACCAAACAGCGTACCCGCAGAAAACTTACTTCAACAATATCACGATTCGTTTTGGATTCGTGTGGCTCGTTGAATTCCGTGTAGCGAAGCAGGATCTTATCCATGTCAGAGCTTGCATACTGAAAGAGCTTTTGCGAACTCGTGAACACAATCAGAGCGATCTCGCAGTCACACAGTATACTAAGCTCATATGCTTTTTTCATCAAACCCAATTTCCGCTTGGTGAATGTGACCTGGAAAAAAGATAATCAGGGGTCGGTGGATTTTTGCGTTACCTGACGGTTTCTTTCATCATCAATCCGCTTGATGAGGATCTTTTTTCTTCCCATCGTTAGCAAGGAACTAGGATGATCACGCGCACAATCTGCTTGCGAGTGGGCGGCGTCAAAGTTGCTATGGCTCCTGAGATAGCATGCAGAAAGAGACGGATAATCAGCAAATCTGACGAAGGTTCAGCAGTCGTTTGAGGACCTGAAGGAGAATCAACAGTGAATTAGTGTCAGAAGCCTACAATATAGGCATTAAAGGCTCTGAATGTACGGTATCCTTGGTAGCTTTCATGGCCCAAAGGTCGTGATCGCACTCGTAGCCCGCGGGAGGATTTCCCGGTTATTATTCTCTAGAGGGTAGTTTTACGGCACCACGAATTTCACATGACTTAACTATTTTGGGGATCAAGGGTGGTTAAGTAATGGGGTGGTTCATATTTGAAAGAGCAGGATCACCAATTTGATAACGGTTACTGGCCACTCTCCGATTTCCGTATTTTGGCAGCAACTGGGCGAAAACTATTGGGCTACTGAAGAAGGTGGGTCTACGTCGGACGTTTTTTATCATTCATATAAATATCCCTAACTGAACGTGAATTACAATAGAAGTTGCTGTTAACTACTTCGTCCAGTGGAAACATCAATGTATTGCGTTCAGCTGTAGCACCTTTCCCGTGCCTAGCTGCCATGCCACCCGAAGGAAGCACGAGGGCTGGGATACTGCCAGGTTGCCCAAGCCTAGACAGGTGAAGTCGAGAGGCGGACGTCGGATTCGAACCACGGACCTTCCGGTCAGTAAATTCGCGCTCTAACCACTTGGGCCGTTTCGCCCATCGTCGACCGCCGTCCACCATAAGAGTAATGAGTGAATCGAACTGGATCAATGCAAGGATAACTGTTCGGCTTCGACTGCAACTAAGGCCCACCCAGGTGTTCACCAACGATGTTTTCGACAATGAGAATTTCCATCGCTATTTCATGGTTCCATTCTGGGAAATTGCCCATCGTAAAATGGATGCATCCAAGAAGCGAACATGGACGAAGTTTAGATCACATCGTTATCCGACAAGGGGATCGAAACCAAGATTTCATAACAAGGTAATGTGTACTGCTGATTGCAACACGGACCACACATTAGTAAGATCCAAGGTGTGACTGGCCCTGGAGAGACCAATTCACCGAGCGACCAAGTCATTTTCAACCAGGCTCGAGAGCAAGCAGTTGCTGGATCGGTTGGCATTGCAGAAGTTACGAGAGATTGTTGCTCAAAAGCTGTACAATCCAACGACGCCACACATACTGGAAGAATAAACTCAAATCATGCATGATGTCAGGAGTACTGTGATTGAAACCGTTGGGAAAAGAAGGGCGTTAAATCTGGTTCCACGGAAATGATGCACATAACGTCCTTGGTCGATGAGGAAAACACGGCTTTTATCAAGACACCTCAACAAAAATCAGACCGACAGGAACTTTACAGTGCAGAATGAAGAACGAATGGTATGTTGAAAAGATTCAGGAAATCCATTCTCAAGCGGATCGACGATGTCACTGGAAATCCTTTGGGGCACTGGAAGATATCTGCGCGCCAATATATCCACATCAGACGAACACTCAATAGGGACGAAGAAATACCGGCTGCCTGGAACGCAAATCCCTCGGCATTGATTAGCAACCCATCTGATATAGATTTGGACTAATCTGCGGTGACCTCAACCATCTGTGAAGATAGAACTTTCCAAGCAACCTACGGGACTAAAATTCGAAGAGTCACAACTGGACTGTAAAGTGTGAGGACTCCCAAGAAGGAATACCTGTCATAATGAGGTTGGTCCAACATTGGAAAATACTTCTAAAGAATAATGTGGATTCTGAATTGGATGCTTTGTCTTTGTAGCGCTTCAGTCGCAAGAGGAATGTCCGGAACGAGACCACCAAGTAAGCGCATTGTTCGTAGACGCCACAGCAGCTTTTTCTCCACCTTTGTTCAATTTGATAACCATAAGTGCAGAAGGATTGCGAGTATGGCTCACTGAGCTCAAAATAGCTCAGCTGTCAAGCCGCGAAATAATTGACTGGTAGGTTCATGGTTCTAATATAACCCTGGCTTCTCAAATGAACCTGTCTGGGCACCTCGTAATGATTGTGGTGTGCTAGCACTAATTCCCTTCTCCGTCCACCTTTATTCTTTTCTTCACAATAGGGCTTTCAAACAAACCATAACTGTACGGCAGTGAAGCATCGGTGTTGAACACTTACGCCATGCTGTCGATGATGATGAGTCTTAAGCAGTCTGGTAGCACCTCAGTCCTCGCGCTTCCTTCCAGCTGCACGGCAGCTATGCATCAGAAGAATGCCTACTTTATTCATGCATTTAGAGGCGAGATTACAGTGAACTACCGCAGTCTTAGCCTTGGGAGAATCTCGCTCTGGTCAAAGCATAAATGTTTCTAGAACATTTGCCTTTTATCATCCTGCTCGGAGTTCAAAGCAGTAGACGCTCTGTAGTCCAAGGAAAAGTCTTGTCCACGAAGTCAAAGCCTGCTGATGTCCAGAGATGCAAATGACAATTATGGTCACATACTACAGTTTACCACAATGCTTTCGTCCACAGTGAAGAACATCTTGCTCTTCAAAATTCAGCAAGTCAAACATGCGGCGTCTTCCAATGTTCAGATTATAAGGGACAGCGAATTTGCTGACCGGAAGGTCCGTGTTCTGCACCCGATCTATGCGATTGGACTTCTGCCGTCTAGGCCTCGGTAACCTGGAAGTATCCCAACCCTCGCGCTTCCTTCGGGTGGCATGGAAGCTAGGTACCGAAACAGTGATACAGCTGAACGATTTCCCCCCTGATAAATGTGACAGGCGAAGCCAACGCATGAACATCAAAGGCCAGAATTGTGTTTACCAATTTGTGTCCCTTGTTGCATCGAATAAAAAACAACGCGTGTATCGCACCACAGTCCACCCTGTAGTGTTGCACTACGGGTGCATGATCTGGTAAATTTATAGGTCTTTGGCCACCGGCTTCCCAAAAGTACAGCCAGAATCGGACCAATAAACAGATGTTTTCTGAGACAGCAGGTACTACACTTGAGGACTGAATCCAGCACTGCAGGCTAAGGTGGTTAGGCAATAGCTACGAGTACCGGGTCAGTCTGCCGAGATAAGCATTGCTACCCGCGTCCAATTTGGAGTGGCGAAGACATAAAAATGGCAGATGAAGCTGAACTATGTTAGGGCCCACGTGACCCTCCCTGACTTGATTCCTTGCTTAGCTGGAGGCGTTGAAAGATACAGGCCGCTAGCCCATGCTAGTTGTGTCCAAGTTGCCCACTCAGTTTGATTGACTATCCGAGACGTGGGAACTTCGGGTGTTTGTGGTAGGCCAGCCCTAGACCCCTGATCCATCATTCGTCCTTCCGTTATATGGCTCCATTTAAGTAATTTTTTATGCTTTTACGGGGCTAAAGCACCAGTGTTACTCAACGGTGCTGTCAGTGGTAATAATATTCGAAATGACGGATCCTTTTAGTCTATTAGAGGATTATTTTAGCCGACATTGTGTCAGGTAAGTAGCAGCGGCTGGATATCTGACAAATAAATCATCTAGGAAAGTTTGACTGCACTACAGAGAAGGATTGTTGGAGGAAAACAAAGAGCTGTGGGGGTGAATGACGCTTATTTCTGGTTGATCAAAAGTCGTTTAGCTGTAGCATCCCTTCGGTGCCTAGCTGCCGTGCCACACGAACGAGGCACGAGGGCTGAGATACTGCCAGGTCGCCCAAGTCTAGACAGGGGAAGTCGAGAGGCAGGGGTCGGGTTCGAACCACGGTCAGTAAATTCGCGCTCCAACCACTTGGTCCAACTCGCCCCCATAGGTGATCAGGTGGTCGTTGAACTGTTCGCTACAAACGTTTCGTCATCGCGATCGGTGACGAACCGATTGTCAAATTCGGAGGACAGATAAACGACCACCTCATCAATCATCAATGAGCGCACCCAAGCTACCAATATTCCGGTACACATCCAATGATTCTCAGCTCCCAGGCGAATATTGGGGGGTTGTTTTGAACACTCCACCATGAGCCTTCAACTCAAAAGTCTGACCAACAAGGCAGTGTGTTAGAGCCACTGCCCACAGCCAGTGACCCGATTGTCTTACTCGTGGCTGTTCAGCCCACAGGTGCAGAATTTCAAACCACTGGAAACCCGATCGTTAAAGGAGTGGATACAAACGCAGTAGACGATTAAAATGCCTCCGGTTATCATCGCCGGACTGGTTTGCACGTCGCAGGCATCAGCGGTTAAACCCTTTTACTTAGGACTGTCAGTTACTCATGGAGTCCATGCTTTGCAATTCGATTTCAAAACCGGGTAAACTCTTGTGTTCCATGTGCTACTTTCTGTTGACACTGGTGTGTGCAGACGAGATCAGAGGTTCTCCGGGCTTTTAGATAAGATCAACCAGTTTTCCGACCACACTGAATGATTTGTCGGCAGTCATAGCAGTCGGACGATCAGGTTGTGCGGTTTTTAGAGTCAATCCCATCTGGTCAGTTCGCCCTTTCTCAAGTGGAGATAGCGGAACTTCTTCCGTAAATACACACATTTCTCACTTCTACCAGAGAGGAGAGTGTGAATTAACCCCTAAAACGGTCAGTAACAGGAGTGATCGCAGTTCCTTGTTTCATACTTCAATCCATTATGGATTTTGTTGATTTCGTTTAGGTTGTTTCAGTCTCTGACCTGAGTTCCCGTAATGAGTAGCCACACGGTCTGAATAGCTGCTTTTGCGCTGACTTAATGTTCCACAAGTCAGTCCATTTTGTCACTACCAACAGCGTTGCTCTCGGATTCTTTACTTTCACCAGTTCCAAGATTACTGCTGCAGCGCTAAGCCAAGGAATTTGTAATATTACCTATTTCGGTATGGGCACTCAAATAATTCCTTTCTAAACGTTGTGGACCTGCTGCTTTCGTTACATCGCGTACACGAATAAACACCAAAACACCGAAACCAGTTCGATATTCCACCCCTTGTCTACTGGTTAGGACCCAGCATCTGTTCATCAACTGAAAGGTTATTCGAGGATGAATATCAAAACGGAAAAAGTTTGAAGAAATGAT